CATGGGGAACCTCATGCCACCAAGAAAGCAGTGCTGGGAACAGAGCACATCTTTTGGACCCGGAGTTCCTGAGCTGAGAAGCTCCTAGAGCAGGGGAAGATTGATGACAAGGACTTTCCCCCAGAGCTGACGCCCTGAATTCAGACTTCTAGCCTACTAGACTGTGAGAGAGTAAACTTCTGTTTGTTGAAGCCATCCACTTGTGGTATTTCTGTGATAGCAGCACCAAACAACTAAGACACTGGGATTCCTCCCAGGTGGTTGGACTTCAGAGCCTGACTTAACCACTCTTCTCCACTGTCTCCCTTTGCTACCTTATAAATAAAAATAGTGATGCTAGCTAACATTTAATGAGCATCAACTACACGCCAAGTCCTGGTCTGAGTGCTTTATATGTTTCATCTAATTTAATCTTCAAACAACCTTATGAAGTTGGTCTCTTAAACCCATTTTGCAGATAAGGCAACTGTCTTAGTTATCTAGTGCTGCTGTAACAGCAGCGTGGCTTTAACAAACAGAAATTTTTCTCGCAGTTTAGGAAGCTAGAAGTTCAAATTCAGGGTTGTTGGCTCTAGGGGAAGGCTTTCTCTTGGCTCTGGGAAAGGTCCTTGTCTTTTTTCAGCTTATGTTTCCTGGTTCCTTGGAGATCTCATGTGGCGTGGCATCTATCTTCCCCCATCTCTGCTTACTTGCTTTGTTGCTTGCTCAATGTCATGGATTGAATTGTGTCCCCCAAAAATATCTGTCAACTTGGCTGGGTCATGATTCCCAGTATTGTATAATTGTGTACCATTTTGTAATCTGATGTGATTTCTTTATGTGTTGTAAATTCAATCATTATGATCTAATAAGATGGATTAGCGGCAGTTATACTGATGAGGTATACAAGATTGGATAGTGTCTCAAGCCAATCTCTTTTGAGATATAAAAGACAGAAGTGAGCAGAGACACGTGGGAACCTCATACCACCAAGAAAGCAATGCCAGGAGCAGAGTGTGTCCTTTGGACCTGAGTTTCCTGTGCTGAGATGCTCCCAGACCAAAGGAAGACTGATGCATCACAAGGACCTTTCTCCAGAACTATCAGAGAGAGAAAGCCTTCCCCTGGAGCTGATGCCTTGAATTTGGACTTGTAACCTACTAGACTGTGAGAGAATAAATTTCTCTTTGTTAAAGCCATCC